GCACAATTGGTGGCTGACTAAATACTTTTTTTTTCCCCACTGTACTTTTCCAGACTCAAATTTCCATACTGCTCTGTGAACATTTTTCAGACCATATTTCATAGTGAAAAACAAATCAATTAGTAATGATTAAAGGTTCAAATTCACAACATTCTCTCAAAATACTACAGATGTTGTTGTCACAGTATCAAAATGTCAGTAGTCTGTACCAATACCAGTATAATTTCATGGTTCTCGGTACATAGCAAAAACTATTATTATATATAATAACTATTTAACTATTTGAAATTAAAAAAGGCAATTATTAATGCTAATAATAATATATACATTAAAACAGCAAGTAACCTTAACCATTTTTCAATTAAGTAAACATTGCTTTAAAAAGGTTAAGTGAAAAGTTAGTAATTAAATAAACAAAGAAAATTGTTATATAGAATATGTGGCAAATATATTAGTCTCCATTTACTCCCAGATCAATTTTGAAATCAGAGTCACATTTTGTATTCAGTCCTGCATTTAAATATTTTGCACTCTTGTGAAAACTCCCCTTCTAATAAATACATCTCTCTACACTCTAAAAAATGCTGGGTTAAAAAGGGACAACCCCAGCTATTGGGTTGTTTTGACCCAGCGGTTGGGTTCAAAACAACCTAATCGCTGGGTTTGTCCCTTTTTAACCCAGCGCTGGGTTACATTTAACCCAGCCTTTTTTAGAGTGTAGGGGCAAATAAAATAAAGCACTGAGGCCAGAGGAAGCATATGAAACAAGTTACGTTTAAACCAACAGTGCTATCTACTGTTACTATATTTCAAAACATGTTTTCAGGCCACTATAACCATTCAGAAATCTTAAAAACTACATGCAACAAATAAAACACTTGACTCTTTGGCGGTCAAGCCTTACAATAAACAAAACCCAATCAAAATCTTAAAATGCCAATGTTCAGTAAATCATTTTACTACATCCCAAAGGAAAAATGAAAATGGGGAAAAATCGCTCTGGACTTCATTGCAGAGTAAGCAAGAAGCATGTGGTAACATCATGGCAGCTGATCTTGCTCTGAAAGCACCCAGTTGAAAATCCATAGATATTTATTTCGTCCAGCTGACTTTGGGAATGTCGAAATGCTCTGTCAGTGTGTCCAGGTGTCCATATTGTTAGTCTCACACACAAAAACACACATACACACACAGACACACACTAAAATATGAATGTCGACGTTAGTAGTGAGACAGACTCACCTCAACTCTTCTCTTATGTGTTTTGGAGGCCTTCTTTAAAAATGTTGCCATTTGCTATTAAAAAGTTACAAAGAGAGAATATAGCAACAGCAAGTCAAACCGCAATTTCTGTCAGTGAAAAATTAGAAATTACGTAATTTCATTGTGCAGCATTTGAAATATTCATAAAACAAATCAATTAACTACTTGTCTTATAATATATACTATATATATATATATGTATATTTGTCATTTTTCTTGTATTTTGTTGAATGCCATCTGTGCTGGTGTCCTTTTATCAACATAAACTTTCTCGTTTCCTTTCCTTGTCCTATGGAGACAAATCATGAAGAAAAAAATGTAAATTCTAGTCAGTAACGTAGTCATACATACATACATATACATACATAACTCGCACAACAACACAGAGCTAGCATAACAGCTGACGGCTATCGTGAAGGCAATGCCAACACATGCTTTTATACAGTCTATGGTTCTTCAGTGAGGGGCTACTGCTTTTTTGGGGGGGTTCAGTTGCCTAGCTAGAGTACAGTGTGATGAGAGAATCAAATTAGTTTTAAGGGGAACCATTATTATAAATTATATATATTTTTATAAAAAAAATAAGTATAAAAATAAAAATATAAAATTAAAACTATCATCGTTTGTCATTTTCAAGTGGCAGTATTTGCTGGAACTGATTTTATGTGACTTTTTTTGTTGTTGTTTTTTTGAAAAGGCTTTTTTAACATAATGTCGTCCCTGTACGTAAAATACTTTAATTGAATTTCAATAAATTAATAGAAATACATTTAAATTCGAAAAAGTATTGGTAGTGACTGAATTCAAAAAGAGCTGTAAATAATGCACAAGTATCATACTGTATCATAATAAAATAAACAAATAAAAACGGGTGGTTGACCAGTATGAGTTTTGTATGAGAGATATTCAAATTATTGAAATACTTATCTTACACAATATTTGAAATATTTGTGAAACATACATTAAACATATTAAATATATTTAAACCTTTTGCAAAATGTTGTAAGTAGATTTTGGAACTGACAAAAGAGGGAACAACCATACAGACAAGTCATAGACCCCTGATTATTTCTTATAATTGACATTACATTTGTATTATAAACACTCAATCATCATTGGCTTGCGGATTCTCCACCCATTTCACATCTACGCCTTCACAATTTTCGAAATCACGTTGCGAGCTTTACGTTTGAAAGCGCGTCTTTACGTAAAAGACGTGCTATTTTCCAAAGCGACTGTGGAGGCAGCGGACGAGCGGAGAGAGAGAGAGGGAGTACTGTACTGCGCTATCCTTCACCTTCCGGTAGGAGGTAGTGGTGGGAAGCCTGACTGATTTCCGTGAATCGGTTCTTTTGAACAGTTCATTTCAAAGAAACAATTCAGCGATTCTCTACGTCGTGACGACATCACGTCACTACGTGGTCCCGGCGTGGCTCTAAAACGTTACAAAGCCACACATAAACCCATATTGCTGTTTACTATGCTTTCCCGATTAAATGTTATGTAAAAGAGCGTTTAGTGTCCCAGCTCAGTCAGTTTGCTGCAATGTCCCTACTCATAAAAAACAGTTCAAAACCTAAATATAATTTTCATTTACATAAAAAAATAAAAATCCTGATTATTGATTTACATTTTGGCTAAACGAGCCGTAATAAACGTAATTACAGTAGACCTAGGTTTTATTGGTCAATATTTATGCAATTTGGCTTTTAAAATATTTACAATACTATCAGCGGAATCAAGAACCAGTCCCATTCTGGAACGAGTCGTTTTGAAAGATCCATTCAAAAGATTCGATTCATGATTCTGAATGATTCGTTCGTGAATCTCACTCACGGCGCTAGAAGGAGGTATCCAGAGCGGCTGTGTCCCTCGGAAGGAAACGTCTTTGTCAGGGATTCTGTGTTTTTTTTTACAGGGCTCAAGAAAAACCTAGCGACATCCTTACCGTCATTTGGAAGAAAGATGCCTGAATTATTTGCGTTTTATCGAATCTAGATCAATATTCACGAACTGATGCGGCTATGGCAAGTCTCGGTGTCAGCTTTATCGATGCCCGCCTGCAACATCTGAAGGATACAAAGTGAAAGATAAATTATAATTGAGTAAGTTTATCTGATCTCGGCAGACTTCATCTGCGCGCATGCGAGATAGCAGTTCTGCGCTCTGGATATACTGATGTCAACTGATATAAGCTGAATGTCTGTCCAAGATAATGTGATTTTGTTTTTCCATAGACATTTTTCTGTGACATTATCATCGGCGAGTCTAAAACGGGAACAAATTAGTGCCATTTGCCTTGTAAAGTGTTTTTAAACGGCACATTCGGTGGTTAATGAACGGATATCTTCATCTACAACCAGCTGACCACCTCTGAATTCACTGCATTAGAAGAGATAACCTGGAGTTTTCTTTTATTTGCTTTAACAGAAGCTATTCGGACCCCAGATATTTACTCTTGTGTTAAAGGAGCCTGTAAGGATCGTGGTTGAACAGTAACGGGATCTTGGAGATGTCAGGCCGGCCTAGGACCACCTCATTTGCGGAGAGCTGCAAGCCAGTGCCGCAGCCTTCAGCCTTTGGCAACATGAAAGTCATCAGTAAGTATCAGCATCTACTACTCTATATCTCATATCGTGATATTTCTCATCCAAACACTATAAGATAACCACGAAATTTACACTTGGTTATGATCGGGATGGATTTGTGTATGATATAGAGTTTGTGAGCATCTGTCATATAATCTTTCCCCTAATGTAATGCTGTCTGGATCTCAAGGGATGGGTCAGGTCCTGTCTCTTATTGTCAGATCTGCTCAATGGAAATACATTTGCTGCATTGTGCTCTGAGAAAGCACCCTGCCTGGGCATCATTGCACAGCTCAGTAGTTTATTCCAGGGAGGTTGCAGTGCCCAGACCTTTTTTTT